CTCCTGCCGTGAACAATTGCCGATGATCTTCGGCAAACTGGTCGTGCAGCTGAGCGAGTCTATCAATGTCCTTTGCAACCATCCGCTGCACTCGGTACTTGCCGCGTGCAGCAATGGTTGGCTCTTGTGCTGCCGATGGCGACGTCTTGACCCTCAAACGCTTCCTGGGTGGTTCTTCATAGTCAGCACTCTCCAGCTTGCGTTTCCCAAGCCCTCCTGCAAGCTTGGGCTCCACGGGGAAGGCAAACGTCCAAATGTGTTGCAAGATTTCATTCAGATCCAGCAACATGATTGGGAGAACTTAGAAGTTTCTACGACAGCTGTGTCATAAAAGATGTCCCGACTCATGCGTTGAAGGGGCTGAGTCCAGAAACATGTGCTATTAGAGGCACTAGAGTGGCTAGAAGTAGGAATGCATGCGCCAGTGTTGGATGCGGTCCCGACATGCGTTTGAGACTACAATGAATGGATACGGCGGAGCGCTTGTTGTGCTGCTGAGAAACCCGTATGTCAGTCAAGACATACGATGATTCCAGATCATGGGACTCAAGGACGTGTCTTACAGCCATCAAGCTCGCGAACACGATGAGCTGTGAACTATGCATGACACAGAGCTGAAGGTTCTTTATGTGTCAATGGCGAATCGGGGCGGCTTTGTCGAGCCTGAAAGTGAGCCCATTGATGAATTCATCAGCCTGCTATGCGAGGCGCTTGGCCCATAGCAAATGATTAGCAAGTGTGCCTTATGACCGAAGGCGAAACTGACGGCAATGCGTATGATTACGTCTGTGCCCATGGCACTGAGCCCGACTCAGCATCCAGGATCCTTTGCAAACTGGTTCTTCGTCCCACCAAGGCTGGAAGCTCGGAGGTTGTTGCCACCAGCTTTTACAGCCAAGCCACTGTTAGGCATTGGAATCGAGAAGGCATCAGCTGTCTGTTGGACACGAAGTGCGCAGCGCCGAGCAAGCCCGAGACCAGGCGTGACCCACACTCCCCTTGGATGGCCCTACTGGTACAATGCTTCATCGATGCCCCGGCTAAGCTCAACATCAGCAGGCTTTTGCCAACGCCCGTGCTGGGCCTGTTCCAATCCACTGGCATGACGACATAGCTCTGGTGCTCTCAGCACACCGACTGCTCCCGGTTTGAACTCCCCATTTCAGCCCCAACAACACCCATCACGCGCACTCAGTGAGTGGGCAGGAAAATGTGCAAATTCCCATTACCCAGACAGTCTGCAAAGTGCAAGCTTGCAAATACTGTAGCTGGCAGCCCCCATCTGAACCTTCAGTCCCGCACATTTCCATTATGCTCCAAACTGAAACCAATATTCTCGACCTCTGAGTTGAAACCTCGACAAGTACCAGGAGGAGGCCTACCTGCATGCTCTGAATCTCAAGCCTCAAGCTCCGAACACCGAGGACGCGGTCAAATGGCACTATTTACTCAAACCTTGCCGCTTCCGCATGCGCCCTCCGGTTCTGTACATTGGCAGCTCTACACGCCAGCTCGAAGCAGGAGAGAGGCGTTCCGGACGTCGGTTTTTTAAAGCTTTGGAATGGAATAAGGCTAAATGTTTCGAGTTGAAGGCAGAGGGCTTCCTTTGGTGCTTGAGGGCTGCGAGTTCGATGCTCACATTAGCCAGCAAGGCATGCCTCGGGCACTGGAAGAACTATAACGGGGTTTTGTCGTCTATGTTGGGGTCCTCCCTTTCGGGCAACAACCATAGAGGGGCAAATGTGCGGGTCAAGTTGTTGAGCTGGTTCATCTTCAGGAACACTTTTCTGGGCTCAGAAGTTCTTTGAGGAATTGCGAATGCCATGACTATCCCCCGTACCGACCCCAACGCTATGACTGCTACAATCACATTGCCAACCAGAAGCTCGATGTAGCGGGGCTGCATATTCGGTGTCTACTGCAGCTGTTTGGGGCAAGTTTGCTTGTAAGAACGACCACCATGCGATGCTTTCGCAGGGCAACTCAGCGTTCTGAGGCCCTGTAGACCATCCTGAACCTCTCCCCTGCTTCACGACCAGTGGGTTGCACACAGCCAGCTTCGTCGCTATGGACACAAAGCGAAGCCGTTGCGGATCCGGGGCTTCTTGACCGGGGCTTCTAAATCGTTCTGGCGGGGAGGCCTCCATCCGTCTTCTAGGCACTAGAACTTGGTGGCGCTTGTTTTGCCACAAGCACTTCACAAGCGCTTTTTGTCCTACCCTGTCACGTTCAGGAATCAAATCCTGTCGGCAACGCTTCATAGAACTCTAGCCAATTCCTATTGCCAACTGAAACCGGAAAGCACGGACTTACCCTAACAAGACATTGAAGCTGGAGCATGCCGTCTAAAGGGAGGATTTGACATGATCATTGCTGAGCCCTTTCAAGCATTTGCTATGCGCAGGCAGGAGAAGCAAGAAAACGGTCCAGACTCCTGCGCAGAGCTCTTGCACACCCATGCCTGAAAGCTCCTCTCTCGTCCCCTTGCTTGCGCGGACGGCCCTCCCACCCGCACAGGTTGTACCCTGTACACGCGAGCGACTTCGAATTAGTTAAACTACATCTGTTCAGGGCCACTACATTGGTAGCACCCGCGAAGCAACTAAAGATTCAGGATGCTCTTGAAACCATGCGGGAAGATCATAAACACTTGGCTGCTTCCTGCAATGCTTTTTGAAACTGGTAACCCTAAAACATGCCATCCAAATCGCTCAAACCGTAGATATACCGACAGCAATCCTGCTAAAGCCGTGAAATTCTTCTTCAAGCCGCGTAAAGCGGCAGTGCTTCTGGTTCTTCAGGATCAGTGGCCCTCACTTCCGTGCGGAGATCCAGCAGCAGTGCTTGCCTTTCGCTTGCTGCACAAATTCTCAAGAAGCGGAAAATGTACTCAGGCAGCTTGGAATGATGCAGAGTTCATCCCTGAAACATCCTGAAACTGGTGAGGATGCTGTCAGATTCAGATTTGGGCCTCTGCATATTGGTCATTCAAGGTATCAGGACCTAGGCTTGATGGAATTTGTGTGGGGTGGCATGAGGACAGGACTCTGCAGCCGTCATCGAGGGTCCATATTCTGAAGACTTCCGGGTCTCTTTGCCCACATGCCACGGGAAAACTGACCACGTGCAGTGTATACTGTGGAATCATGAGTATTGCGGACGTCGCCGCGTTCGCCAGCAATTGCCGCTGGCGTCGACAAAGCAGCGCTGACGCCAGGCCCATGCGACCAAGTACAGTAAATCCGAATGGACTTTCGGCCTACTTGCCTATTTCATCCTATTTCGAGAACCATACTATTCGGAATGGCATGGCCCGGATCCCGCAGTCAGTAGGCGGGCCCAAAACACAACGCACTTCAGGCCTTGAGTGCTGAACGCTCAGCTACCCAAGCCTTCTGTTCCGTTCCCTGTCCCGCAGTCCCGCAGTCCCGCAGCCCATCCCCCCACGAAAAAGCTTCTGGTGCCAATCGCAAATTCTGAAGCACCTGACAACAGTCCAGAATTTCCCCGAAACAATGACGCGTCCCACCTGCGACAGCGAATGTTGAGGGCAGCTGCGGCAGCGGCACTGTCGACAGCTGCAAGCAGCACCCGACAGAGCAGAGCAAGACTCCATCATACCTCAGATTTGTAGCGCAATCAAGCGTGCGGGGCTGCGTGCTTGCAAAAGCCCAGTGTACTGCAACGATCCGTACAAGCTGGAAAGCGGCACAGAACTTCTGAGCCCGCAACCTCAAACCCAAACCGGGGCACTGCTTTTCCCGTAGACAGGAGACATGAAGAGTTCAATCCTCCCCCAATGCTGTCCCACTACGCTACACTGTGCAATTCCCCCAGCTTCTTGCAGCTAACGCTGCCCTGCAGCATGAGCGCTCTTACGTCGCTGCGGCGGGCATCTAGCTCCTTGCCAACGCATTGATGGAAGTGGTAGCACATGTCTTGGGACTCTGCTGGCTAAGGAAAAACTTGGGTTCGGGGTGCAAGAGGAAACCAATTGGCAGGAAGCATCAAGTTCAGCCAAGACTCCTAGGCCCTGATTCGGACACATGGTTGAATTTGCCAAGCTTAAGGGCCAAGCTTTGTGGCACAGAGCTTCAGGGTGGACCAAAAGTTATTTGAAAAACATCTATGAATGCATCATGTTCATGAGCCTCAGCTTCTTGCAGTATCCCTGGGCAAATCCCCTGGACCTCCATGAGCTCGGGTCGGGGTCGTGCGCCGATCCACTCAGCCATTCGCTGACAGCAGCCCGCTGTGTGCGGACGCCTTGGGCTCAAGCTCAGTTGGGAACAACTGAAAAGAGACATGCTCTGCATATACTCCAAAATCTCTAGAGGGGACCCCAGTTTGGCCCGGTTGCAGACGACCCGAGATCCATGGTACTGTAGTTAAGTTATGACGTTTACTGGCCTTCAACCTCCAAGCACCTGAGCAGCCAAGCAACTTGAAATCAATATCAAGGCAGTAGGAGGGCGTTGAGTGCAGTTGAGCTTGCTTGGGAACATCTCATATGATGATACCCGGGTTCGCTCATGGATAGCAACGCCTTCTAGCTCAACAAGGCTGCCAGTATCAGCTAGGCGTCGAAAAGATGTCACCCGTACGAGTTCGTTAGGGCTTCGATGCGGTTCGGGTTTCAGGGTTGAGGGCTCAACTACGACTGGGCGAATGGCCCAGCTGCACTATGGGCCTATGTATGTAAAAGAAAGCCTTTCCTTTGACAAAGCACTGCGTGAAGGCTGGGGGTCGGTATCGGCGCAGAAGTAGCGATGACGAAACGACCTGAGGGGCAAGGTTTGGGAATGCCTATATCATGACGTCATTCCAGACAGCCGTCGTCATCCTGAACCTCTTCTCACAACTCCGACCTGTAGGGGCTCTGCATATCAAACCGGGGCCAGCAAGAAATAGTTGCCATTCTCGGTGTCTCGGTCTGATCGGACTGTCTGACACTTTCAAGCTGTTTTACTTGACCTTGGGTGCCTGAAATGCATCACTGATCAAGCAATAGACATTTGTGCCTCGCTCCTTGATAAAAATGCAATCTCAGTGACGGAGACGGAGGAGAGGGCCATGGCAAATCCGGACACGAACGGAGCCAGCGGTCTCCCGGTGATGGCCTTGGCAGCTACCAAGGAGTGTCAACTGATCCTCCTGTTGCTGCTGCTGATGCTGCTGCTGCTGCTGCTGCTGCTGTTGTTTTTGGTGTGCTGGTGATGGTCATTGTCCTTGTAGGTTCACGCCCTTGACGCCGACGCCTGCTGCTGCCGTTCCCACTAATTACATGGTTCTTGGGACAAGCACAGCCATGTGGGCAGACGGGACTTGATCAAGCAAACTCCATGATGACAAGGACGGCCGGTACTGCTCTCATGTCGCACTGCAAGTTTGTTTTTACAATTCAGCATTTGTTGAGCCAACTCAGGGTTACGAACAAGTTCAGCTCAAGCAACAAATGGGGCATGATGTTCAATGAGCGTTGTTCCACTTACGCGTGGTCACGGCGGAAAACGCCCTCAAGGAGAGCGCACAGGCTTCTAGGCGAGCGGCTATCTGAGCATATCAGAACGAAGTTTGGAACGAAACTGTTTCAACGAAAACGGCTGATACCACTCTCTGCCATACCTGCTCCTGACCGCTCCTCATGCTGACCATAAGAGCTATAATTAGGGTGAACGAGTCCACCCCTGCCAATTTCGTCTTAGAATAGCACCAGACGCTGCATCTACTCTACTCATCTCACTCACCCCTACATTTCCCCTCGAATATCACGACTCCTTCCCGATACCTCAACATCTAGGAGGATAACCGATTGCCTGCCAAGAATTGAATGCTCATTGACTGTTCCGAGCACTTGGATAGAGACTACGTAAGACTCGGACTAATTTTGAAGTTTTTAGGCTAGTCGTGGTGCATTCTCGGCATAGGCTGGCCGACAAGGGGCCGACTACGCAGCTTGATGAGGGCAGCTGGAAGCCCTGACATTATAGCTGGAATCGCTCTTGAAAACCAGGCGGCAAAGAAAAGGCCAGCTGCCAAGGGGATGCTGAGGCAGTTGTAGCCTGCGCGCTTCATCCAACAGACAAAACTAACTACATTCGGGAATCTAGCGAACTCATCATGGCGTTTAACTTTGTGTGTTCTATCTAAAAAAGGAGATTGTAGGCATCTTGGGATTTTGCCAGTGCCCGGATCTGGTGTTTTTGTAGGTACCTGAGTTGCAAATCCTAGGTGCCTTCTCGCGCACGTGCAACCTACTCAAAATCCAGGGGGCCACTACTGTGGGACTTTTGCCGACTTAGTGCTCCAGGCAGGGCGATGATGTGTTTCATCAAGTTTTCGACGTCAACGCGAACTTGAGCTTGGCTTAGGATTGCCTGATGGGCGCTGGGAGCGTGGAGAACGTGCGCTCTCGCGCCACCCCAATGACTTGGGACACTGGGTTACATGACAACGCATCCCGTCTTGGGAGATGTGACACTTAAGCTTTCTAAAAAACCAGTAATGCCGCAGTCTCAGTATTTATGCCTAAGGATCAGAAACCTCCATTCAATCTAACGGAATGGGCAGTTCCCTGTCCCTGACATGCTTGGGAGCTGCGGGGGAGGTGTGAGCCCTGAGGAGGTTCAACATGAACAGCATACCCACGTGGATGGCGGATACATCGGGGCAAATTTGGATTACCACAATCTAAGTTACACGTCCCTGTGGAGAACAGAAGAGCACTTCATTTTCGGGGCTGCTGCCATATCTGCCATGTGGTGACCACGTATGTGGGGATTTTGGGGGAATGCCATTCGTATGGGACCCCTGTCCCCATCAGAGCCTAGTGAGAAGAGGAAGTTGAGCTGAATACGGCGGAAGATCGCGCTCGAGAGGTGCAGTGCCGTCACCACATCCTGGGTTACTCAAGGAGTCGGGGGAGCAAAGTAGCAGGAAGCTGCAGACTTCTGCAAACGGGCAGTGTATACCCTTCCTCCACTTCTAGCTGTAGCTCCATACATCTGACCTTGAAGAGGCACGGTTGCTTCAACCTACGAAGCACTAGTAGGCCATACAGGCACTTCAATGTTGCTTCAGTCTGCTTGATTTCGCCTGTGCGCTTTTGCAGGAGGCTTGTAGATGCAAAAGGCAAGCAGACCTTGCAGATCGGAAGGAAGGAAATCCTCTGCACTGTCATCGTGCACGAAATTACAGGCAAATGCAAAGGAGCTTACTTCAAAGCCTTCATGCAGCCAGGATAGAAGGGAAGGCTTCCATGACTTCATGGGTGCAAAAGCCGGTCAAACTGCGGAAAGCAGGCTTCAAACCTTGTGAGGTACAGCCAGCTCAACTGCTGCAACTGAAGCTTAGATACCTAAACACTCAATCAAAGAATGGAGTTTAGCATGAACACAAGAAGGGGCCTGATAGAAGAGCGGCAGCAAGCACACGAAGACGCACGCCAGCGCAACACCCGTGGGCGGGACCCGTCGACGGAAAGAGCTGCGGATATAGTTTTGGATAGTAGTTAATAGACTGGACCCGAAATAGCCTCCAAACGCAGACCCCTCAAGAAAGAGGCCGACGCCATGAGTAATCTACACTGATTTCTTCCACTCGAGCTTGGGGAGGTCCAACCCTCAAGCAATGAGAAGCCACGCGGGTCGGCTTGCAACCAAGCAGCTGACAGGCGACTCTTGACCAAAACCATGTCGGCTGCCTTGCACTGGACTATGCCGTTCATCATTCTCTGCACATTTGTTTTTCCTATGGTGCCCTTGGATGTGGTGCCGAAAGACCAGTGACCCCAATCCCGGAAGAAGACCTTCCCATCGACCTCTCAAGACTGCATGAGGGTCTCAAGACTGTATAAGCAGAAACGAGGGAGTAGCGGCCAAATTTGCGCCGGTAATCCCACCACGCACATGTCATGGAGTTGAGAATGTCTATCGGGATCTTTTGTCATGAGGGGCTCCAACAACCCTCGTGTCCGAAGAGGGTCGGCCTCCATGGCGATTTCAGCGCCAGCGCCGATGGCAATGCCCAAGTCAGCCTTCTCAATTATGGAGGGAATAGGATCTTGGGAGATTTCATTGCAGGGTGCTGCTATTTGGGAGGCCCACGCGTATTCACGCGCGGGAGCCAAGAGCCCCCAGACCCTTCCATGTGCAAGACGAAGGACCAGCAGAAACGGAACACCTGTCCATGCCCAAAACCAACTCGTACCCCCATGTCCTGGGCCAGGGCAGGAGCGTCATTGACACCGTCGCCGACCATTGCCTCCAACTTTGCTCATAAGAAAGTGTCTGCCCAAGCAAGATGCGTGCTCCGGCTTCACTGAGGGATGAGAAGGAAGCGTAAGGTGCGCGACTTCAACTGGACCGTTATAGAATTTGAGTAGGGAGTCTGTGGCACAGGCTTCTGTGCTCAGAAAGTCCAGTGACGACACAACACCCAGAGTGATGGAGCAAACAATTTCGAGGTGTCCTGAATGATCCAGAAAAGCCCTCGGACACAGCTGACTGTCTGCTTGCGATAATAAAACTTCATGCGAGAAACCTTGAACACACAACTGGCAAAGTCGCAGAAGCCTGACCGGGAAGCCCTCCTTCCTGCATCTTCTCATGCTGACCCTTAGACCCCGAAGCAAGTCTAGCTGCAGCTAAGTCTCCACAAAACGACTGCGCTCCTGAGCTGGTTGCACCTGCAAGCAGCGTCGTCGACGTTTCATACTTGTTGCACTTGGACCAAATAATATGCCGAAGGTGGATGCTCTGCTTCTCAACTGGGTGCCCACACCCACACCCACACCGCTGTGACCAGTTGTGAGCTGGTCTTTCGCAATGCAATCGTTGAACCACTATGCAGAAAAACTCATTTCACGCGCTCACCAGAATCAACGGTGTGGCTTGGCGCATGAGGACGGCATTCCTGCGTCTGTCCTACTCCCATCTAGTCAGCAGCAAAAACCAAAATCTCGCAATAGCTGCCATAGTATGACCAATAGAAGGATACTGTAGCTAATCCTAGCCTCGCGGACGCTTCGCCAGCAGCTGCCTCGCACTGCCGCGGCCGCAGGCCTTCAAGGGGACTTACCCTTGGTGCCCAGACGCTGCAGATCTCCAAAAAAAAGCCCTGGCAAATAGAGCCTAGGATTTGTCAAGCCCTGAGCACTTCATCAGGGAGTCCTCCGCTGCAGCTCTCTCACCTTCTCTGCCTTGCCGGATGGCAAGACTCCAGCCACCACGTTCCTTGGGCAAGAGCCCAGAATTCATTACAGAAGTTCTTGATGCTCCACTTTACGATAGCTACGTGTCTACCGATACCAATTACATTACACAGCTGTTCAGCTGATTTTGAGGCCACGACTGTTCCCAGAAACCCGGGAACAATCCACACGAAACATCGCACTCAGCATCTTCCCACAGACATCCCTACTATCCCTCCTACCCCGTGTGATGTCTCAACTCACATTGACGAGCAGAGCAGCTCCGACGCAATGCCCACACGCCGGGCAATCGCTGCCGCAGTGCGCGCATTGTCGCCAGTCAGCATGAAGACCTGCTGTAAGTGCTGCGTCCGAGTTCTACCAGACTGTCAGGCAGACAACATTATGCTGAGGAGATTCATTGAGCAAAGGTAGGCTGGCCAGTTCTTCAGCTCACCAGCAGGCAGCTCATGAGCAAATGGATTCTGGAAACCAAATATTTTGAGGGGACACAGGGACACAAGGAGAGTTGGCGATGACCCTACGAAGACAGCTGTAGCCGGGGCCTCGCGGCCCATGCGCTGCAAAGCTTGGATCGTCTGCGGGGCCTGCGGCAAGGAAGGTTTTGAGACGGTGACCTGCACTTGTTGCCAGGACAGCTCTGCTCGAGCCGCAAGTATGGCTCCTACAAGTGAAGGATCAGATGGCCAGAAGGCCCAAGCGTGCTGGCAGATTGGGCTGGTGGGTACGGAACTTGGATGTCAAGAAGTTCCGCTGCTCCATGCGGGTGCCTTTTGTGCGCTTTGCACACAGTCTTTGCGATTGCCCCACAGACTGAGCGGCGTTCCCCAAAAACGAAATCGCAGCGGCATTCCTCAAAATACAATCTGCATGGGCTGCAAAAACTTCTGATAGCTGTACACCGGTTCTGAACGTTTGCTCAACAATGCCAACCATGGCGGGTACCGAACAGCCAACAGAAAATTAGGAGAGCCCTGAGCACTCGACGTCAAACCGAAGTTGGCAAGCTGGGGAGGGCTTTGGAATCAACAGTCATCATTTGGAATGGTTTCCGAGCATGAACCTACCATTCGAGAGACTCTTGATTCTCGTGTCATACAAGAAGGCCGTTCTTGCAAGTCAGCACTAGGAAGGGCTCGCAAGCTTGGAAACAGCCTGTTAGGCCTGCCCTTTGACTAGCTGATTGCTGATCAGGATCAGCTCTAGAACGCGAATATGGAGCGGACGAACTCCAGAAGCTCAAGAATTAGATGGAAGGCTCCAGAAGCATCCGAGCTTGGCCCAGAGAATCACTGTCTTGGGACTCTACCATGCGGGAAGCTGGCAGCTTGATCCTAACTCCCTTCTATCTGAAAGCCTTTCCGAACAAACCTGCAAAACTGAAACGCATGCAAAGCAGGCGGCTCTGGTGCCGTTAGCCCCAGTAACATGGATTCTGAACATGTAAAGTGTAGCGAGGGAAGTCCTCCCCAAGCTCACATGGAAGCTCTGCAGGCATCCTACGACTGTCTTGTATGGGTTGCACATTTGATTAAACATCCGTTGTTTTGCGTTGTTGCTGCCTCCAGCTTCACAGTGTCGGCCAGGGCGATAAGCAGCGCAAGCACCTCTGCTACACACCAAGTACACAGCACATAGGTTTCATTATGAGAGTGGAAACTTTCGAAGGGCAAGATCTCAAAGCTTCAAACCATCAACCGGCAGTACAAGCGAAAGCTCTCAAGTGCTGGCATCATCTTCACACCCAAGGCGCACTTGAGCATGTCTTGTTGTGCTGCATGGTTGGTGTGTTTCTTGGGGCTTAAAGCTGTGAAGAATTTCTGTCTTCAGGTTCTTAGCCTCTGACGCTCTTCTAACACTTTCTTGGAAGTAGCCATTGATTCCTGTTTGGTTCCTGCAAACTCTGAAGCCCAAATTCAGCAAAGACTAGCAGCTGACACTTGGCCTGAGAGTGCAGCTTGTTCTAGACAACTTTGTGGTTCATACACACACACGCAACCACAGCAATTACCCGCCTAGCCGCATGCGGGTTCCAAACAAGCTTCACTATGCTCCAATCATCTTCAATTGTACACAAAAATGCAATGTAGCTGCAACCCAGGCTTCAAAGCAGGGGCCCGCACGTTGTCAACTGCAACGAACACCACGGTCTTCCCATCTTCCTACGACAAGTCTGCAAGAGTTTGGGGATCGAACTGCAAGCCGAGGAAGATCATCCCTGTGCTCGTGGGATCTGTTAGTGCGAGGAGTCTTGGCTACTGACTGTGGAGTGCCAAGCCTCCTTGGTTTGCACCTTAAGCCTGGGGGTGTGTCAGCTAAAGGATAACGGACCAAACTGATCTACTCTTAAGCCCGACTAGAAAAAACACAATGCCCAAAACCCAGACGGACCTTGAACGCCCACCGCCGACCCCGGAATGCCTCGAACTCTGCACGCAGCGCCGCAAGCTGCGCCGCACTGTCGAGGCGGACTCCGTTGGCCTCCATATTGGGTGGACGTAACAGCTTGCTGCAAGCTCTGCCGGGGTACGATGCAAGCACAATAGAAGAATCTACACTGCATGGACCAATGTTCATGCAGCCGCTCTAGTATCAAGGTTTTTCGCAATTCAGAGTTTTGCCTTCCAAGCTAGAACACCAGAAAGGAACCCCTAAGTTCCCAAGTCCATGATTTCAGTTCCGCCTGCCATGAAAACCGACCAGATCTCTCGAATCTCCAGAACCCTGCGCCGCATGACTATACCTAATTGCTGACAAGGTCCACGCCCAAGGCGCTTCTTTGAAAACTGAGACTAAGGCTACGGCTAAGGCTACGTCTTCCCCACTCAAAAAACACAAGCCCAGAAGCCAACGACCGCAACACTGTATCTCACTCTCATCCACAAAGCCTCCATCCAGGCCATGTTGCCAATGAGCACATGGTGCTCCAGCACAGAGGCCTGCACACAAGAAAGGTCTTCCCTTCAGCCAGAAGTGCCACTCTGTAAGATCATATCTCTTGCGGGCAGATCCTCGAAAATTGGCTCTACTTATACTTGTGAGATTGGAAAAGCCCGCCTGCCATTTGCAAAGAGCCTCTTGGCCAGCGAAAGCAGCTTTTCACATAAGTGGGCATTCCCCAGCACGGTATCTGTGACAAGAGTCAATCTTGAGGTGCCCAAAATATCGGACCCCTCTCAAGCATCAGACTCGAGAGAGATAATGGCCTTCAAGATACAGGCATTTGGTCCCTCTACGAGCGATCACCCTATTCCACACATGAGTCTCATCAACAGCGAAAGAAGCGTTGCGCAATGTAACGATCAAAGTGACGACGGCTACAACAAGGAACGCTCGTGATACCCACAACACAACTTGATATCAACACGAAAGACAAGTCCACAACAAGAAAACCGCAGCAACGACCTCGCCAACAGCGCTGCAGCCATCAATGCAATGCAAGAAGTGATTTCGTAATAGCCGCGGAGCTTTCACTATTGCATTGCTTTGCACTTGCATATTTATTTCCCGGTGCACGAGTCAGGATTTAGAAATGAGCTCACTGCCAAAGGCGTTTTTCTGATTCAAAGTTAAACCGACATCCTGTACAGAGTTCTTGTGAAGCGCTGCAAACTTCCTACAGTAATCTTTCACCCTCAAACTGCATTGCAAACCTGAAGCCCCGAAGCCCCAATTTCAACCCGTAAACTTCAACTCCCCGAACACGTCAACCACCGCACCCACGTAACACCACACGTAAGCGAACCCAGCAGCTGCTGCGCCTCGAGCCCACGACCTGGCAGGGCTTTGAAGGCGCTGGGCTCCACCAAGGCCTCACGAGCTTGTCAGGCTTTTACAAGGCTTTTACACAGATTTGATTGCACAAAGACTATGACGAAGAGAGTGCATGGGAAGTCCAGGTGTGGTGTGAGCATTCTTGGGAAAGAGCAGCCCCATCAAGCGGAGTGGGCTTTCTATGTGGGACTGAAATTTGGATGGATCAATCAAACTGATACAAGTCTTGTCTCCGCAAGAAGGTTGATGAATGCCATCGACGGCTGGATCCAGCACAATATGTTTTGCGGAAAAAATCTAAGCGCTGACATGCCATCACTTCCTGCGGCAATGTTCTACGTTCATTGCAACCTCCCTTCTTCGCGTGCGCCTCGGACTTAATGACAAAAGTTGCATGCTTTCAGCTTGGTCGTGCGTCTATCTGACAAATGCTTTTCCAGAATGGCGCTTCAGAGTGTGGACAGAGAATCCTGAGCTGGATGACCAGCAAAAGCCGTCAGATCCCAGGTCCCAAGCACAAGTCACGGAAAATATGACATCAAAGATCTGTAGGTTCAAACCAACAAAGCTTGGGCCCCGTGCAAAGTTTGCTCACCCACTCCTGGCGACTCAGCCCTAGACGGACGCTGCGCCGTGGTCAGCCAGCAAGCGCTCTGCTTCCTCCCCGCTCGTGAGTCAGTTTCAACGACTACTACCCCAAAATTAAATACCACCTACCAGTACGTACTAAGGGCCCAACGATGGCGTTGTGAGTTGAGACCGCTGTCATGCTTGTTGACACTCTTGCTTACAACGCAAAGTTCCATGTGCAAAGCTTTGCAAGCAAAGATCCTGCCTAAGCTTGAACTGTTGCACCGCTTCGTGTGCAAAGCTGTCATGTTGCAACGACAAATCCAACATTGCCATACTTGTTGCCTTCAGGGACACATGTCAGTACTTCTTTTTCTCTTCGAAGTGGCCGTTCGCATTCAACTGTTTTGTCATAAGATACTCTTTGTATCCGCCATGAAAACTGAAGGTTTGCGGTAGCACCTATTGCCTGCACGCGTGCTCTCATACCTTGCAGACAGCGCGATTAATCCTGCCCAAGAAGGCCAGATGCCGGGATATATGTGGCTCAAGTGTCAGGCCCACTAACTCATCCCGAGAATCCCCCACCAACACAAATCAATCCGCTTTGTCAAAACCAGGATGGACTGCCGAACCCCTGGTGCGAAGCTCAAGTGTCCGATGAATTTTCATGCCATGCAGCCGAGGACAGGTAGCCCAGCCTGCGCAACTGCCTGCCCGAGCGGATGCTCGCTGCCTCACAACTGGTTTTGATGGACAGAATACTAGCAGTCTAGATTGCAATTGTTCCGATAGGTCCTGTAGTGGCGGTATATAGGTAGGCAGGTAGGTAGTAGGTAGGATCAGGAATTTGGGAGGTCGGATTTGATTGCCTACCCTTTTATGACAAGAATCCAGCATGACAGCCCATGTAGTCGAGGAATTAACGAGGACAAGTATTTTCCTGACGCTGCGAGCGCCGTGGGCCCAACCTGGCAAATTGCCTGTTTTGCACAGGCATCCGACACGTTTCGAATGATAGCTCGCGTGCAAGTGAATCATCGATCTGGTTGATGGTGCTGCTAAAGCACAAAGGCAAGACAAGCTCTGGAGATCAAGGCGCGCATCTTCAACTAGCGTTCAACTCTGTGCTCACATGCTTAAAGCTTGGGAACCCATCCCTGGTAACCTGATAACTGAAAAATGCTTCAACGAGGGCACTTACAAACGCAGAAGTTTAAGGACTAGCAATCTGCAGCCCAATAGAACCACTACACAACTACGTAGGTTTTGCAGCGGCATACACGTGCAAATGCCTTATTTCGATGATGTCCAGCTTTCAACACCCCGCACGGCCCCAAAACAATCCCTTGCCAAGTGGTCATCGCTCTCATTCCTGAGTGGCCTTGGAAACTTGGAGTGATAACAGATACGGCCAACATGGAATAGGCTGAGAATTAACTGAGGAACCTCTGAAGGGGGGCATGGGATTTGTTTGAGAAAGCTCCCACATGCTGGATCTAACACCCTGCTTCACCTCGCTCCGCGCTACCAGCCAGCAGGAGCAGCGGCAGCGAGGTCGCCAGCGGCCTGGCGTTGGATTCCTACTGATTTGTTGCTGCTAGAAGTAGTGCAACCATCATCATACATGCTTCCCTTCCCGGGACAGATTACATAAGTGTACAAAAATGTCATTTGATTTCTAGACTTGTCAATGAGCGGAAAGCAGCAAATTGGGAGTTTGAAGTGAAGGGCTCGCTTGGCAAGACGTCCCTCCATGAGGGTACCCTGGTGGAACATGTACTACTACTTCAGACAGTACTTAAGAGGAGCTTGCTTGCACACGTCCCAGCACGGCAGCTGACGGTAACGTGCCGGTGCAAATTCACGGCTGAGGTGCACAATGTGAGCAATTGGGTCCGACATGTCCCCAAAGTGATACTGAACTTTTCTACTTTGTACTGAAACGTTCTTGCCTGGCAGACTCCCCCGCTTGCAACAGAAGCTTGCTCTGACTATCTAGACCCTTTCCGGAACCCCTGAGCACCCGCTCGTGGAGACGCCCACGTCTGCCAGGTGCTGTCGGGCACCTTGGAGGGGCACCTGGCTGTGGGAGCTCATGGAAGAACATGCCAAGATCATGGACTGTCCGTGTGATTTGTCTACATGCAGCCTCCAAAAAGGTAGATCCTGCTAAACGGGCAGGTCAGAATTCTAGTGTGTACCGCTCTGGTCCGCACACCCCACCCACAGAATGCAACAGTCAACGTTCAGGGGCTGCAGAGAAGTGAAGGCTACTTGCAACTTACAGCTAACATTTGGCTGTCCTCTGTTGCAAGCCAAGAGAAGCCCGAAATCCCGCCCAAACGATCAAACAAAAGCGGTGGCCTCGCCCTCACCACAAAGAACCTGCCAAGCAGGATTGCGGGATTACACGTACCCGCAAAAATGACTTGTTATAATCAACATTATCATGTTGCGGCAGTAAGTGCGGCGAGGTATTCCTCACGAGTACCCTCCCCAAACGGACGGCCAAACAATCCTCTCTATACACTTCTCCATGCTCTATGCCATTCAGCAGGGTCAAAAGAAAAGACCCTGGAGTTTCAATAATGTTGGAATATTGCTATGCAAGACTGTTTTAACACCCTATGCTTGACCTACACAATCCCTACAGCACATAATTTACCAGAACTGGAAACTGTCACTGCTGTGAACCATCAGCACGGCCTCTACATCTGTCACCCGAGGTTTTCCCTCCGTGATTGTCCCGGTCTTGTCCTGCAAGGACGGACTCGTGAAATTTCCTTTCATGAGCGCTATCTTGTGACTATGCGGTACCGATATGGTAGGGGCTGTGATGCCTTTGAAGATCATGTGCCCTCCTATGCGAGATGATGTGCATCGTTCTTACATGTGTTTATATACTGATAGGTGGCTACTCAGGCTTTAAGTTGCACGTCATGCTGCCTTCTGACCCATCGGTCCAACATGGCGCGTGAGAACATTCATAGCCTAAACAATGATTCACGGTGCTTAAGAAACTGTAACATTTGGGGTTCGGGGAGCAGTGTGCATCTCTACAAGTTTCCGCCGTTGTTGTCCAGTCCCCCAGCGGTCCAGAACCACAGCTTCGATCTGGTGCGCGGCCTGGCAGAACTTCGATACTTGATGCAACAGCTTTTTTCAGGGTCGAGGTTGCCGCTTGCGACTCACTTCTCTCCTGAGGAGTTTCATCTTATCATGTTTAGGGCCTGCAATTCGGAAGTCTCCGAATCTCCGAGACCCCAAGTGTTGGCAAAGGCTGTCGGCCTCCAACGCGTGACCGCCCTTGATGAGGACGCCTGCCCAACTCAACTTTGACTGCAGGTACCGCATGGGTCTCTGCTAGATTATCGCCTTGTCCAGGTTCCCTTGCAGTCCTTGCAGCAAATAGGGTGGTCTTGACTGGCGTTCATCCTACTTCAACACTGATTATATAATTGCCCTGTGGGCCTTGTGAGGCACCGACGCCTGTTCCGACCATCACCTACGTGAGAGATGCAGGTTCAACCTGTTTGGTGGTCCTGGGGTGGGCTTCTTGAAGCTCAGAACTGCTGGGGTCGCAGCGGGTTCGAACCTCCCCGAAACACCTCTCAGTCCAATCCGTGTGACCTATTGATATCTATTGATCTGTCGTGACCGCAAGCCTCCCGAAAAGAAAGACAAAAATGCCAGCTTTGGACATCCAGCCTTTGCTCGCATGATGTTCTAATGATTCTTTGCATGATAAGATCGTATAAGATCGTCAAGCTTGAACCCCCACCTCTTACGCACGTCTCCTTGGCAGTTGCGTCCAGTGCAGTCTCAGTGGCAGCTGTGGGGGCTGCCAGGCCCAGAGCACACGGGCAAGCGACTACCAGGACGGAGATCGCCATCATCAGACCTTCTCTCGCTTGGCTTTGCCGCTATGGCTGCTTCTGCTCATGCTGCTGCTACTGCGACTCACTGCCAGAGCAACAAAGATTACAAATGTTCTCCTCGGAACGAAGGGGTAGATGAGACTGTTCATGCAAGTCTACTGGAACGTCCCGCGTCTCCAGCAAAAGCTAAAGCTTCCAATGGAACTGATGAACTTGCAGACCCTGCTTCTCAGTCAAATAAACCTAAGCATTCAACCAAAGACGCTTAAGGTCTCAATTCCGCTACCATGCCCAAAGACTGCAGTCAAGCGGGCTGAAAGTGAAGTTGTTGTGGCGCTCGCTGTCACTGACCTCGTCGAGCTGGACAATGCCGCAGCTTAGAAGGACCAGCCACAGCACCTGAACACCATGAGAAGGCATGGTAGAAGCTAGCATAATCGCCAAGAGATTGCTTTAAGTCTAGCAGCCCAACTCATCGCAATTGGCATTTTGACAGGTGTATCATCAGTGCTATCAAGCACTGGCATACCCCGGGTCAGCATAGTTTGACTGCTTCCGATGCCTCCGGTTGAGAGGAGGCCACTGACTGGAGATCTTTCGGCATCGTCTGCCATGAGCATAGCAGGCGATCCGCCGCGGTACGTAGGCGTAAGACTTCAACTGTGAAACCTTTCAACTGTTGCCAAGGCGCAAAGGTTGCCAGGCTCATCAACAGTACAGCGGGCACGAACACGCTGGAGACCTTGTCGGCCAACTCCTTCAAGCGATTTGCTAGATGAAGTGATGCGGTGCTCTCAAAAGAGGGTGGCAGCTTAACATGTAAAACCATTTAAACACGAAGTATGGTCACCAATACCATCGATCATCTGAAACGTCCCTCAATCATGGTCTTGCGTGCTCCACCTCCTCCTCCTCTTCCGCTTCATCGTCATGCTCTTCATGGCTCCCATACTGAATACCTCTCTTACAACCCATGCCCTCCTTGTCTGAATCCAGACTTGGGTTACTGACAGCATGGCCGTGGGTGGCGCAAGAAGGCACGAGGTAGTCAACACAGCATCTCCCATGGACTGGCGCAGGGGAATCTCAAACTAGGTACTTGGCCTCAAGCTCTTAAGCACTCCTCAGTAGCTGTTTGATTCACATAAAGAGCTTCAAACAAGGATTGTATTTGTTACGGTATGGGATTTCAGGCAAAAACTCACATCCAATCTGTCCTGGACAGGCGCCCTCTGCGACTGCGCCGCTTCCACAAGGCCGACGATCTCCAAACAGCAGAGCGCAGAGCTTTACAGAGTTTAATGGAGCTTGGGTTAGGTAATTATTGCAGGCTGACTCAAGGAGTAAGTTGTCCATAAGCAGGACATTTAACCTTTGAATCTGCTATGAAAGCCTTGTGCTGGTGACAGACATGACAGTGTTCTGCCTCGTCACACAGAGTACAGTAGTACTGCAAGTCCACGGTGGAAGGCTAGGTCAAGGATTTTGCAGATAGACTCTGTATACTTTGCCCCGCTAGCTTCAAGGATTCTTCTGGCATTGCCCTCCTCATTGAGGAGGCTCTGTAAGAAGCATCCCCGGTTGCGGTAGATCATTTGAGATGCTGCGACTTATCCTTGGCTCTCACAAGGCATTGTCAGGGTCTAGGCCTTGCGCAACCAGCCAGGATGTGCTCTGGCACTTCTTCTTTTACAGGCCTTCTCCCAAGTGTATGGCCACTCAGAAATCACAGCTTTTGAAGAAGAAACGCTGGCTCCAAAGATAATAAGCTGGAAAGCCCTGAAGGTCCAACGGAGGAAAGTCCATCTAAAGCTATGGACGTTTCAGGCACAGACCTCCTACCTACGATCCGGCAACGAAGCCCGTTCCTGGCTCATAACTGCCGCTTTGACGTTGCGCTGCTCTGGAGCCTTGACACGCCCATAACCGCGTTTCCTCCACGATTGGGGTGTTGCAAATTGTGACGGTTTCGTCATTGCCCTTTACTTCTGTGAGAACTTCATCATACTTCGTCGACATATTGCGATCATGCTCACGATGATGTGTTTCCTTCTATCCTGCTTGCAATGCTGGCTACCTGATGAAGCCCCTCTGAAGTCGATTGCCTGAGCCAGCGCTGAGCTCTCACCGACTGCCTCCAGCCGCACCTGAAAGGATGCGACGCTTTCAAGCACAAATGGAACCCGGAACCCTTCAAGACTGCAAATTGTTCGGTGCTGCAAGAGTACATTTCTGCGGGATGCGGCAGCTAACCTCACCCTTCCCACAGCATGCTGTCTATGAATCATCTAGGCGCATGATCTGAGGCTGGCAACTAGTTTCAGTTCTTGCCGCCACAGACCAGAGCTTGTTCAGAGTAGCCTGAACATGAAAAAGTTACGCCTCCTTCAAATGACATCTCATCATCTTCAAGGCTAGACAGGGCAGTAGGCAGTTTATGAATTAAAAAAAGGTACTTGTAAAGCAGTGGGGTTGAGAGTGTCACAAGCATCCTCTTGGGGAGGGTCGTGCTAGTGCACACCTTTCATCAGAAAAGATAGTCAGCCAACTGTACTCGCCCAGGCAGCCCGCGCGGTCACATGTTCTACATTTTCACATGTGTGAAGCCTATACCGACGGAGCCTGCCAAATGCAGAGAAGTAGGTGTAGGTTGTACTTTCAATCATCCTCAATGAACTGACATATCTGACTCCAGGCCCGCAATTGGCCAGCAGCTTGGTTTTGCGAACTTCGACAAAAAATTGCAGAATTGTATGATAGGTTCCGTTCCGATCCAAAACCCCATGCTGGTCAAGATCAATGATTATGAGGCTGTCTAGAGATGTCTAGAGCTTAGTGGAGCTTGAAGCCCTATCCTTTGACCTGTTTTAGGTCTGTTGGTACTTGTAACAGGCCCGTAACTCTACAACCCCAAGACCCCTTTGCACAGCCTGTAGCTGGCCGCCATGGTTCGCAGTGCCGCCAACCACGCGATCTCCGGGGCCCTAGCGTCTGGAGCTGTAATTGCGGCAAATAGTGCCAGGCTGTAGGGTCGCCGACTTGTGGGGGTTTGCGTTGGTCTAATAAACCATGAAATTAAATCTGTACTTTGGCCAGCTAATGAGGACACGTACACGCTGTACAAGCATACCCCTGAACACCACTTGACCAACATCACCTTTCATAGCAACATTGCACGCAGAGTCGAGTTCTGCTTCTTTTCATGCTCAAGCCCACAGCTTGGAAGCTGGATGAACTCTGGATTCGGCATTCAGCTTCTCCGCCCCTTGGCTCCTCTACCCCCAAGACCGATGCTTGACATAGAGCTCTGGCTATGCTTTCGTGGAGCCAGAATCACAGCCTTGGCAACGGGAAGGGACTCTCCTGTCAAGGCAGACTCGTCGACGGCTGACTCGCCTGAAACGACTTGGGCGCACCCCAAAGTTTGAGGATGCTAGAGTTTTGCGGATCTAGGACTTGAACGTTCAAGATGGGCTTGGCAATCTAAGATCAGGGGGGTCCACAATCCTGGAAGCACAGCTACTCAACTGGATCATGGATTTATGGTCTGAATGCTCTAACTTTGCTCCTGCTCTATTGCGTACATTGAATACACCCAGATGTCCAGCTGCTGCTTATTGGCTACAGTTGAAACATGGCGACTGCCCTCATCAACCAAAGCCATTGAAAAGACAGCTTGGGAACAATCTGAAGCTTACGCTTCACTTTCCATTGCCTGACTCCACAACACCATCGGCGGGCACCTGCCAGGACAGGGTCTCACGCATGGATTTCTGGGGCCCATGCTTTGGACTTCACGTGCCAACTAAGCCAGATACGCAGGTGACCCAAAAAGAGTAGCTTTCTGACACCGTTCATAGACATGAAGGCTCAGCAGTGTGCGGATGCGCTGAAACCTCAGATCGATTAGATGCATAGGTGTTGCTCATTTGCCAGGCGCCAGCTCCAGGGACTTGAGTGTCTACAACAGCAAAGCCCTTGCCCTCTCCTGAACCTTTAATGACCTTAATGTTTTGAACGCGGACTGGGCATATGTACCGGGAGAAGTCAAAGTCGGCAACATGATGGGTATCGACTTTCAAGAAGGTGTAAGACAACACTTGTTCAGAGCAAATCCCTTGCAAATCGTGCAAACAAACACCGAGTGCTGTCCCGTTTGGCCTTCGACCCCGGAAGAACACGCACAAGGTCACCCTTGACGAGGAGCTTCGCATCAACCTCGCAACTCGCTGAAAGATGTTAAGTCCTAGGACACAAAAAGCGCAATCCATTTTTTGGACGCCAAAAGAACTCTGGGTTGAGGCCTTCTTGAACGAGGCCCCACAGTTTTCGCATTGATTGTCAAATTACATGACGAAATGTTGATGTAACCGAGGGACTGGAGCACAGGGATCTTCTTCAAGGAGTGCTCTGTGCAGCCAAGACACCAATCTCTCGCGCCCCATCGGCAAGCCACCTTCCTTTTCATGTGTTTCTGATGGTTAGGATGCCTGCTATTTATGGCCCAAAGGATATAGGGTTCTAATGATCGGGACCTTCCCACAACAAACCCATACTGTTGCGAAACTTTCTTTTGCCTTAAGGCCCACAGACTGGGGATCCTGCAAGTGAAAGCCTGCTTTTCGTCGGGGTGCTCTGGGGAAAGCATGGGAGCCCACATCAGCTGACAAGGGATGAAGCTGAAAGTGGGGATGCTTCAGCCCTAGAAAACCTCTGGAACTACGACAAGACGCCTTAAGCTTTAGGATGCCGTGATAATGGTTTAAATCAATATCCCGGTTCAAGCGAATACTAGTGCAGGATCTTCACTGACGAACATCGCTGCAAAGTGACTCCAACAGCATATGCCCGACCTCTCGCACCAGGAGGGCAGTCTGTGGCTGCAGGGCCAGGAGTGCCGTGATAGCATCTCCAGTACTGCCCTTCCTGAAAAAATAGGCAAAGCAACCTTTCTGACAGCTACAGCGTTTGGTGTTTTACCTTTGGATCTCTAAAGCGCTCAGGGGAGGTTGCTCTGTTCGGAGAATCCTCACATTCATCTGACTGTTTACCACCACTAGCCGCCAGAGCAAGACGAGACTTCCCTTTGCGGAGAGTTGATGGGAATTAGAACTGCTTCTGAAAGGACTTGCACCGCAGCCATGGGCACCAGTATTACTGTATGCATGAAGTTGGCCAAGGTGCGCTCGGCACTCCAACCATTTGCCCAGCAGCACCTGATAGAACTACTGTTGAGTGCTGTCTCACGGGTCATCAAGGCCGAAGCGGATAGATCCGTACGTACAATGCAACATCAACAAGGTAGTCCTGTTAGTTGAAAGCAGCACGCACGGTACGCACGTTATCCAGAATTTCACTTCGAGCATCCCACCCGAACGGTTACCGAATATTTGATTCGGGAGAACCCTCGCCAAATGCTGGGTTGGGAACTGCAGGCACTCTCTGGGGTCAGGCACTGCAGGGTAAGGATCGCCTGGAGTTATGTGCTGGGGCACTCCAAGAAGATGATTGACCACAATAAGGGCATCAAACAAACAAACGAACGAACGAACAAACAAACGCAAGACAAGCCACACACGAGATTCTGGGCACCTGATCTGAGAATTGCTCTGGAATTTGTCGACCGTACCTTTTGAAGGGGCCAATTGGTAAGATTTCTGGTCACTCTAGAGTCTAGAGGAGCTATTCGCGAGCTGCAAACCTGGCATGCTGCTGCCCGCCACAAATCCATGCATGCCAGGAGCAAAAGTAATCAACAGCGAGGAGGTGTCAAAGTCCAGGCTCATCATAGCCGCCTTGCATTCAAAACACTGCTATGAGACAAGGTTTCATTAAGTGGCGATTGTCTCCCCAGAATATAACTCTGGAACCAACCCTTGCAAGCCAGTAACCTGGGATGGAGGGTGTATGGGTGTGAAAGGACAATTTGACTCAGGAATGGACATTACTTCGGAAGTAACCCTGCCAAACGCCGGGCTTAGGCCTCACCAGCCAGGAGCTTTGCCAAGAGCTCTGCACCTGCAATGGAAAGGATGCATTGGGAGGATACCAGCATTGGCATTCAGGATGTAAGTTGTTTATCAACCTTTGAAGCGATGGGATTTTCAAGAAACCAGTGTTTCTCAAATTAAAACACCTCAGCCAGCTGCCAACGGAAACCAGAAACCAAGCAGCTTGCCTCATGTGAGCCTATGAAAACTGCCCAGCCTCGAAGCCCAACACCTAGAACATAATGTTGACCACATGTAGGTTCATAGGACTTAGT